ATGATGAATGCACCGCCAAGTAACTAAAAACACATAGTTTGCCGTTTATTATCTTTTGTATAATTTGAATAGCAATTTGCATATCTCCTCACTTACTTTAACTATCAACTTACCATTTAGCTGCTTGTTCAAAGGCATTGTCTGTTTCTAGTTTCCTGGCCCAAGTGCTATACAAGTCAAAAAGGACTGGGTCTGAAGGTGAAAGCCGCACCTTGGCCAATGCGATAGCTTCCCTGAAAAGAGCAAAAGGTTGAATACTAACAGACCCGTGGTTTATATTCACATACCATTCTTGACAAACGACGTACCTTATTATGCATACTTATAAGATATAAAACATATAATGCGTTTAAGTCATGTGAGAGATAACTAGCCTAAGTTAACAACCCACTCTCCAAGAAATTCTTTTCAAACTTATGTTTGTGTTCCTAGACCTTAACAAAAACTGACAGCATTCAAACTTTAAATACTAATCAGAGCAGTTGATGAGAGGAAATGGAGCGGCGACCTGGGGCAAGTGTCTTCGCGCAAATTGTCCTTAGGTAACTTTTATAGGCTGAAGATGCTACACTTGCATCATTTTTGAGAATTTTGTTTGCTTTTCAAAAATTCCACGAGAATATAGGTCAGGTATAGGAAATATTAGAAAACACCATAGAAAAGCTAACGCCTGCCTTAGTACATCTTCATGTCACGTTCCATAAAACTCAATGTATGTGTGCATAATGGGTGAAGTTAATATTTCCTGAAATAAGTAAAAAACTGCCGTGTTACGTCAGCGGGAAATAAAACACTTCATCGGTCATTCATTCAAAGATGATAAATTGACAAAAGATCGTTGTTAAACCACCGGTCATTCATTTAAAGATGATAAATTGTCAAAAGATCGTTGTTAAACCGCCATGGCGAATTCAAAACATTTGAGGTTTCGAACGGGAGGCGCTGTCATTTTGAAATTAGCATTTATATCCAAAACCCGCATCAATAATCTCGCTCTGTGGGGGACACTTTCATTATGGACAGTTCACGCTTGGCCCACCTAAGTAACCAATATAGCGAGACACTTTCTATTCTAATTGCATCAAAACCATTCTGGTAATTGTTCTTGAGCAGTGAAATGTCAGCTCGAAAAGACTAATGTTCACTAATCGGCTAAACGCGGAAACAGTTATATTGTCTTCATTTTACAAACTGTCTATCTACTACCCACAGACAGAGACAGTTTCCAAAGCTTAGTGAAACGTTTTATGCCAGGATGTTTGATAGGAACACAACATCCCAAGAACCTATCATTCTAGACATGGGAGATCGTGACCCTACGGGTATTAACTCCTATTTAAAGGTAAACTTGTTGCTTCCTTTCGTCAACTTTAGAGTAACTTGCAAATCCAACGAATTATCTAAGATAATTCGCCAGAATGTTGTGGTTACATACATGAAAGCAAGTCGCAATAGGATGTAACAAATACTTAACTAGAGTCCTGCGATTCCAATAAGGGCAGGGAGGAGGAAGGGGGGCGAGTGAAGTCTTGATAAACCTCATAAAAGCAATGTTCACCGGCTCTAATAAAATCTGCTAGAAATCAGAAGTTTACATTTTCGTTTATTCATGGGTTTGCGCCATTCGATACGTACTCAGCAATTCAACGCTACCTTTATCATGAAGTAGAATTTCAAATAGAGCGCGATTTGTTTGTTGTTGCCATATGAAATTATAAGATGTGATTGGTTTCACTGAAAAATACAACTCTCCCTAGACACGAGTCAAGTGTTTGCCGCATTGCACCTGTCACGCTCTACATACTCCCTCCGTAGGCGCTGCGTGACAAACCACAACAACCTCTGCTAGAGAGACTAACGTATATCGTAACACCGGGATTATCATGAAAAAGCTTCAATAATTTATAAAAATTATATTACGGGAACTGCTATTAGTTACTTTGGCTTAAAAGAACACTTTGAAAATTACAACCACTAGGAAACCGCGGATTCTACGGCAATTCAAGCGACGACAGGGCTCTAATAGGGAAGTTTGTGCACTTTTTCATTAAATTGCTTTTACTGAAAAAGTTCTTAATTTTTTCCGTAGGTGGATTTCACGGATTTGATAGCTGAACCTGAAGGATTTCAATCCCACAAGAACCTGCACAATTGCGCCTCTAGAACGTACAACTTCACTAAAAACTGCTGCTACTTTGGGTTGACGCTCATCTTTGGGGGTCCACTGGCATTCTGTTTTGGCTGCTACTTTGCCTGTATCGGGTTCGAATACGTTTGGTGTGTGATACCTTGTGTTAAGGCGTGGCTGATAAGATTGGAGTGCTTCGGCAGGATCTTTGCATACTGCATCAAGAATATTTGCGACCCTTGTTTCCACTCAATTGGGAAAATCTTTTCTAGAATTCATGTCAAGACTGAAACGGTTTAGTAACTTGTTAACTTGGTAATGTTTTTGTAAGTTTCGTATGCAGACGTTTGCAGCCCATCGGATAAATTGCCTCTCATGCTCCGGTTATCCACTACCTGATTAACTGCATTTCCTAAATAAATGCGCGTATATTCATAGAACCAATGACGCGAGTGAACTTAAAATTGCGTAAAGAAGAGACAGTGTCAAATCATTCTGAACGAAAACATCCAAGTTACACAACAGGTCTGTGTACCCGTGATATTTAAAAGGAGTTCAAAACAAAACTCTAAAATAGCTCGTTAGGGGACAACCTTTAAGAATACTGTAAAAATTAGGGGGGAAGGGGGTAAGTATCCCAGCTTATCCTCTTATGATGCAACCCGTTCCCTTGTACGATCTGGTTAACCACCCTACCTAGACTGCACATGCTCGGCAACTATTAGTATTAGACGGCCCGACACAAAAAAAACAGAAGAAGAAATAAAAACACACACGCACACTCACACAAATAAAAAAAAAGGCCATAATTTTTTTTTATGTGCACAGTAAAGTGAACCAGTGCCTCTAACACCGTGTGCTGTACCGACCTACCTATACATGTGCTGTTTCCTGAATACGTCAATAGCTTTGTACGTGTCATGGCACGCTAGGTAATACAAAACGGCACGCTGATACTGACCCTGCGATTCTAGCTGGTCAGCAAACGCTCGCGTTGTAGCCATCCATACTTCACGCCCACCTGAAAGTGAATTTTCGCTACAATATCGCAAATTTGCTTGACTTTAGAAGTTAGGTCAAGACGTCAAAACATACAGACTTTTGCCAGCTTACACAATGAAAAAAAGACAAATAAATAAAGACCCCTATAGGCTAGACAAGCCTAGCGAAATACTTATAATAACTGGATTAGGATAGGCGGCCTGTTTCTATAAAGATGTTTCAGTTTCAGCGACGCGAGAGCAACACAATGCACAGAGTTAGGCTGGTTTTCAAAGTAAAGGATTTGCGCAAGACGAGTTGAAACGAAAATCAAATGCTGATATGATAGGGTACTGGTCGGATTATTTTTGGATAAAACCCAAATCGAGGGAAGGAAGCAAACACGTAATGAACCCTAAAGTGTTCTTTACCTAGGGGACTGAGAGCCACAAGCCAGTCAATAAGCTGGTTATTGTTATTCGCCATTTGCAAAGCTCCGCTAAGATTTCCTTTCCAGATCTCCAGCTGCAACTGGTAATCAAGGTTGCCGCCGTCTTTGTGATGTTCACCTACACAACAAGATCGAGGAAAACAACCGCGTCACCAACAAACCGTAAAAAAAAACAACCTCTCAAATTTGGCTAAATAAATCTAAATACCTTCCGTAGTAAACATCCTGTATGCGCTGCGCCTATCAGCAAACAATCCGAGGTTCACAAGCTCCTCTGATCCCGCTACTTCGTGCGACGGCGAGTTACCGTAACTGGGTGTACCTTGTTCCTGACCTGTCAAACCAGTAAATATATCACGACCTTGCATCAGTGACTTGGAATCTCACGGTTACAGGGGCCCAAACCTTGAGGGAATTTATCTCAGAGTATTGTTACTTCGTCTGGAACTGGATGTTAGTCTATAGACCCGGACATTTATTCACTAACAATTTGCAGTTACAAATTTATATTTTCTAAAAGGAGGGAAGCGAAAATCTTGTGCATTGCTACATCTACAACGGAATGACCAAGATCAAGACTCGAACAAGGATAACGTGAACCAAACCTCAGTGCAGAGGACGTTTGACGTTTGACGTTTGGCGCAATAGGCACGTTTTTGAGACGGAAACGGTGAACAAAACCAATCTGTTGCAAAGCCCGTACTTCAAAACTCTAAACAAAGCGCTACATTTAAGTACCAGCAATAAAATAGAAACAAAGCTTCTTCCTGTAAGTTATTGGTGAGAAAACGAGTCAACCCTTGTTAATTCTCCCCTCTACCTGCTACATATTTCCGTGTAAATAAATTACGAGAATTTGGAGTTAGATCAAGATAACAACTTCTACCTGATGCATTTGAGTATTCTCATTACCTGTTTGCTGAATGGTGCATGGATATTGTAGGGAGAAGTTACTTGTTAATCACTTCTGGGAGTTAAAGGGTTAAAGATGGTCTTGCCTACCATAGTTAATCTTCGCTAGTTCAATGCACTCCTCTCGTGTCACTGTTTTAGATTTGCTGTCCGCAACAGCAGAGAGGGGAAACATTGATTTGACTTTCCTCTTTTTCTTGGAAGATGATGTTGTTTCTAGTGAAACTGTAAAATCAAACGAAAACCACGACGTTAGTTAATCAAAAATACAAGGGTACAACAAGTTACAAGAACAAAACTGAAGTCGAAGCTTACACAAGTGGGCATCCTTGTGAAGCAAAGAAAATGTCTGCAACAGCTAAACAAGAGTGAAAGCACAAGTATTTTATTGGGAAGGATTCACACAGTATTTTATCAAAGGTACTTTAAGAGTAAATTAAGTGGTCACCAAAGTATCCGTTAACAGAGCTTCAAGTGAATACTTAAATGACCCGAAAGACGTGTTTTTAAGATTCATCACACAATGAGAAATGAAGCGAACGATTGACAATTCGACAATTTTATAACGACTTATAACAAAAATGCTGCATTACATATAAACAAACATTTAAAAATTTAATCGCATCAACTTTCAACTCACAACAAAAAAGAAAGAAGAGAACAGGTAACGTCCAACTTACCCTTAGATCTTAAGGGAATCACTTTCTCTTGTTTCAAAACAACATCAGGCCTCTTCTCCTCGGCCGAACAGCATGTATTGTAAATGTCCAACGACTCATTTTCTGCCACTACTCCCTCTTTCGACTCAGTTCTGCCATTACTATTTTGCGCTTCTTCTGTTTTCATCACCGGCTCTTTCCCAGCTGCTTCACTCTCGGAGCTAACGTTAGGTTTTTCTTCCTTTTCATTTACTCGAGTTTTAGGTTCTGAAGTAGAGGTGGGTGAGATAATTTGCGGTTCCTGAGAATGATCACTGAAGCTGTCTGCTCTAGCTTGTTTTTCATGAGTGCTAGTGTGCTCAAGATTGGACGTTGGCTGGTGTCGCCATGTTTCCTTGTTGTCTGACGAAGTTTTCCCTTTTCCTTTTTGCTTGTTCTTCTTGCTTTTGGAGGACTTACTTGCTGAATGGCTCGTTTTCTTGTCTGCGTGAAAAATAAGTGACAATGATCGATATTAACCACAACATGTTCCACAACAACGGATATGAGAAGGTTAAAAAACCTTGGTATCTTAAACCCCTTTTTCTGGCTGCAGGAGGTTTGGAATGACGAGCTTCTTTTGTATTTTGGCGGACTCAAAACATACCACCGGCTTGAAGGATGGGACGTCAGAGGAAATGACTAGTGGCGAGTGGATAAGCGAAAAGTGGAAGAACAGCAGATGGCGGCGCAGATGAAAATAGCAAAGAAAAAGGCCGCTTTCGGAAAAATTTCAGCAAATTTCCATGAAACACCTCTGCCGGAATTCGGTTCGTATCTGTAAATCTGACATTGGGTGGCTCAGCCTCGGCGAGCCATTCCTAATCAGTGAAAACCTTTAGCAGCGCGCTGAATCTATAGACCTTGTCGGACAAATTCCGTCCACCTCCACCTACCCGAGACAGGTGGCTGCCGATGCTGCTGCAGTGAAGGTCTCCAAGGTCGCACAGTGCCGTCCTCTCCGCCACTGTATACCAAATCAGGATCCAGATAACTCCACACTACACACATCACACGGCTGCTATGGCCACGGAAATTGTACAAAGCTTCTCCTTTAACCGCATCCCAAACCTACGAACGGGAAGTACAAAAAATACTGACTTGGGAAGATGAGAAAAAACTATTTACAATTATTTTTATTACAACAATAACGAAAAATTGATGCATCGAACAAACTTTAAAAGTTTTCGGATCATGGTCAGTATCTAAGCAACTGTGGCACCTACCCCGCCCCTAACTCTACAACAGTCAACTGGTAACAAGTTAAGGTTAAAGTTGAGTTAGGGAAAGGGTAGGTGCTTATTTGCTAACAAAACTGACATTGATCCAAGTTTCCATTAGTAACAGTGATATTTATGTCACCTGAGTGACACAGAGATCGTTCAAACTGTTGGTTAACAACGAGGTGAGACACATAATTATCGACTCCTGGAGTAGCAACTATCTTTGGCAAAATATCGATTTTCCTACACACGGCATAATAAATAATTTGCATATGCAGAACCAGCCTGCTCTTATTATTGTACAGAGTCTGCAGACATACTAACCTGAATAACTTCATTTCTATGTACTACACATTAAGAACAGCCGAAGGAAAAACAAATCTCCTTATCTGAACGGTGAGATCAACTCTGCTCTTTGATACGGATCTGATCACGGGTCTCATTTACCTGAGCAGTTCCATCATACGACGAAGAAAGAAGTAGTTCCGACTGATGTGGACTCCAATTCAAATCAGTGATTCTTCCCGAATGACCCGACAGCTTACGGAAACATTCGGTGATGGGAGCCGCGTTGGCGGTAGGACTGGACAAATCATCTGTAGGAAGTAATGTCTTACGTTAGGAGAAAACGAGAGAAGAGGGAGCGAAGAGTTATTGTGATGAAGAGGCGGCAGGAGAGAAACATGTTGAATCAAGGGTTTGTCCTTTTCTTTCCAGTAGAGTAGTCTTTGCCTATTTCCTCTTCGTTTGTGTGGTCCACTGATAAAGGTGTCTTTCGATCAAGGATGAAGCGAGAAGACGGAAAATCCAACTTGATAATTCTAGCGTACGGTTAAATAGGACGGACGCTAGTTTGAATAATGTTGATCACTCCATGTACTCAATTAAAAATTTGCGCGTTAGTACCACTTCCCATAAATATGAACAGATAACAATAGGAAGACTTTGAGGAGTGGTACAGATCGTAGGGGAGGTTGGGGACAACGCGTTTACTGGATAAATTAGTTGTCTATCAAAATCAGAACGGAGTGAGTGAATCCAGATCTAAACCTCATAGTACGACCACGTCTATGGTTGGAATGCTTTGCAAAAAGGGAATAAATTTTGATCACGAAACAGCGAGTGAACGAAGAGACATAACAGACCATGCAATTTTTTCACTTCTAATAAAGTAACCTGCTACGTACCAAACATATTGCTGAGGTCATGGACATGAATGGTAGACTCATTAGATCCTGACGCTAACCAATACTTGCAACTAACACTACCTAGAAAGAAACACACGCGATTTTCTTTGAAATTCTCACTTCTGGGAGTTGGGACGATAGGCCTTTTCCGAATTAAAGTTGGCCTCATTTTCAAAACGAGTCCTGGTGCTCATCCTTTCATCTGCTAATAAGTTTTCATTCACGTGCAAATTAAATTCATTTTCATACGAATGGTTGAGCACCAGGCCTCATTTTGAAAAAAATAGACAAAAGGTAATTCGGAAATGACCTACTAGCGTTTCTATTGTCATTACCTGGCTGCTGGACAATGCAATGAAAATGTATGGAGAAGTTACATGCTAATCTCGTCTGGGAGTTATAAGGTTGATGACGTAAGTGACAAAGTACTCAAATCACCTTATCAGACCATTTGATTAGCGTATATCGCAAGTCACGTTTTTATTTTCATAATTTCTGATTTCCGCACCCATTAAATTTTTCACTTGGGTAAAACACACGCAAACAGCACATGGGTGGCCATAAGAATTTCCTATTCCTCTCTTCCTTTAACTGAATCACGTACTTGTACTACCGGATAACATGGGTACCAATAACTTCAATACAGACATAACAAATAATTCCTGACTTATGTATCCCACTCTAAAGGGGTAATGCAATCAGTATCACGGTCTGACGATTACACAAACCAGGTTAAGCCTCGGTAGAGATGTGAGAATGTCTCATCTAACTTTACCAACAATACACGCAAGCATGAAAATGAAGACTTTAGTTTACCTTTGCCATTTACTACTGCAGTTAGTTCGCCGTGACCATGATGCCACATAAGAGTAGTGATGCTCTTTTTGTGCGTGATAATCATCCCAACTTGTTGCAAGTCCGGTGGAACATACACTTCAATCGAACTAAAAAGTGAATGACAATAATAATAATCATAAAAATTACAATGTGACGCATTTTATTTAGGACTTTCGTTTTTAATTGTAATGCGACTATTTTAAATTACATCGTAATAGTTAAAACATTTTTAATTATCATCATGAATGAAATTCGTACTGTACAGCGCATTTAATGTAGAGCACCATGAACAATCAATGAAAATGGCGCCACTTGAAGATAGATTTATCAATGTATTTTTCAGGATTAGGATTAGGAACAGCTTCTGCCTCAGCATCAGCTTTGTCTTAAGCGTTTTTCAAGGGATATAAATTCATGCCTGACTCACCCATCTTCATTTCCCAAAGCCATCACGGAACCATCTGGATTCCATGAAACATCCGTTCTACCAAACGGCTTGTGCTGTAAGTGAAAATACAAAAAAAAACCAATATTTTCGCCAGAATAAAACATATTACAATAGAAACACAAACAGCTATCCAAACGAGCTCTTCTCTTTAGTTTGACAAACAAGACCACAAGTCCAACATCGTTCATTTTGCATCAAAATCAACGGACACACGGACCTTTGAAGTTGTGTTTTACTAGTATCACAATTAACCTCTAGCGGAAGAAGCAGTGAAATGTTTCAATCCACGCATACCTTGAGGTTATTTGTTTTAAGTATTAAAGCATTCACATCTACTGCATCATCCATAAAATGTCCTGTTTTGTGCTCAAGGACACTTCCGTCTCCTGCACAGCTGTACAAGTTTAGTGTGTCACCATCACCTACGATAAAAAGAAAAAGAGAAAAACATTTTCAGAAATTGGCCACACAACATGCTCGCTCTTCAATCATTTCTGCAGAAATCAATCCGGAAGATATATATCTAAACCCTTACTTCAACGCAAGTCTCAGAAAATTCCAGTTTGGCTTAGTAGATATAAAAATATAAACTCCTTAGAATTTTAGCTTGGGCTTTCCAAACCAAACCGCACAATATAAATACAGCCGATGTTTGTTTAGGAGAAGATTTCTTGTCTCACCAATTTACAACCATTAAGCACCAGTTGTGTCAATATATGTTTTGCTAAAGAAAGACGTGAAGTACTTGCAAGGAACAAGTGACGAAGAAAACATCTTGGTCCCCCGAACGGCTCTAAGCCACAGCCATGCGATAAGCGGGCCAGTAGGCAACATAGCAGGCTCATAGATGACAAGAATCCTGTAGACTGTAAGAATAAGCCAAGTCGAAAGGATCCTTTTTGGAAATGATGATACATTTGGAGCAAAGTCGTAGACTAGAGAAAGTTTTTACACTTTTGTTAGGAGCGTAGAACTTAAAAATATGATGAAATATCAAAGTAACCATACAAAAACAAAAAGGTACCTTCCGTGGGGCAGGGAGGGCCCCAAGACAGAGAATACACTGTCTTCTTGTGGTATGTTGAAGAGCTATCTAACCTGGAGGAAATTGAAGGAAGATACAGAAACATATTATAATAATTGTCTTATCAGCTATACCACAAGAGTTTTGAAGAGATGGGCCTAGATCCCGTTTGGTGTAAAGTGCGCTTTGGAGAAAAAACAAAAACAAAAGAAAACCAAGAGATCTGAAACTTAATACAGCGAGTTACGGTAAATGGAAGTTGAACGATTTTTACAAATTACTTCATTCAAATTTATGACAGTCTACTTTCGAAGTTCGAAGATCACGCCAACAGCCTTGATTAGTTTGGTTTATAATAAAGTTTGAAAGATATTTCCTTTCTGTATATCTTGTATAAGAACGTACCAATATTAGTAGAAGCTAATTTTGTCACAGTAAAATAATGACCAGTGTCCAGTTACCCATACATAATGTAAAATTCGAGCCAGGAATTTCTATCCCTGTGCTTCAAGGAATTCCTTTTTGGAGAGAAAAAAGAATCTCCAACTCTGAGTTAGCCTGGTTCAAGTATAAGTAGATTAACTGGGTGTGCATGAAGAGACCAGCAGAGAGAGGAAAACACACACAGATGCCCAATCAACATGGACACACACTTTTTTGAAATTATATTATAAACCCCAACTTGTCCATCATCTGCTCCAAATGCTAACAAGCCTTCCTTGCTTGGATGCCATTTGACCTGCAAAAACACAAAAATGGAATCACAACTAATCTCTCTCACAGGGGTGGTCCGGTGGTTAGTTCGCTCGATTCAGGCCGGAGCATGAGGTCTGGATTAAAGCCCCGACCCTGACCGTGGTATTGCGTTGTTACATTGAACACAGTAATCTCACAATGTCCCTCTCCACTCAGGGGTACATATGAATACTGGCCAACTGTTAGCAAA